GGACCGAATGGTTGTTGATCTCTGAGTCTCTGACTGTGATTGTGATTAGAAGACAGGAGAAAGAAAGGTGAGTATCAAGTATGCCTCAAATACAGAATGATGTCAAAAAGACAAAATTAAGGGCACTCTGCATGAATGCATGTAGCAATCACAATAAGATAGATGATCTATGTGCACAAATAGAGGTGAATGGTTATATAATTTCTGCCACAGAAACGTGTCTGCGTGATGAGCAAGACTGGGAACTGACTATTCAGGGATATTCAACGTTTAGTAAGGACAGACAAGAAAGCAAAGGAGTTGATGTGCTGATAATAAAAGATAGGGTCAATACATTAGTAAGGGAGGATCTCGGATCGGAAGAACCACGTATGGAATTTGTTTGGATAGAACTCAGAAGCATCGAGGGCAACAGATATTGGGTACATGGTAGTGTGGGGCATGGTATAAATGAGTAGATGAGAGAAGCTGATAGCATCTGTGAAATCATGGTGACTTCAATCTATGTATAGAGTGGGGAAACTAAGCACTAAAGTTGTAGAGGACAGGTTTCTGGAGTGTCTTAGGAATAGTTTTCTTGAGGAGACTGTTAAAGAGCCAATTAGAGGACAGGCTATATTGGATCTGGAATTGCTTATGGAAAAGGGGGTAATTAATGAAAACCGAAAGAACTGCTGGAAATCAGAAACAAAAACAGAAATTGATGGAACAGGTCTGGCAGCAGGTGTGGAGAGAAATCAGAATTAATGTTTTGGGTCAAATGACCCTTCTTCAGATTAATAATTAATAATTTTGTTGTCAGAGAACCTTTGTGGATGGGTAACTACAATATGAAAGAATTTTATCTTGTGTTTGAAAATAAGATAGTTTAATCTGATGCAAAGGTGTTAAGTCTGAACAAGAGAAATTATGAAAGCATGAAGCACAAGTTGGCTGAGCTAGATTGGGAAAATACATTAAAAGAAACGACTGTCCGTTTGTTTACAATCATTAAAGAACTATTACATGGCTTGCAACAACTGTGTGTTCCGCCAAGGTATAAAAATCCAAAGGATAGTCACCAACCATGGCTGGCAAATGAAGTTAAGAATTGTATAAGAGTCAAAGAAAATGCCAGAAAGTGTCCAGAAATAGTCATAAACCTGAGTAGTGGGATGATTTTAGAAAACAGCAAAGTAGGGCAAAGAAACTGGTAAGGAACGAAGGAATAGAATATGAATCTGGTTTAAAAAAAAAAGACTGTAAAAGATTCTACAAGTACGTAAAAAGCAAGTATTTGGTTAATATGAATGTAGATCCATTAAAAGCAGAGACAGGAGAATTTATAATGGAGAATAGAGAAATGGCAGAGAAGTTAATTGATTACTTTGTCTTTTCACTGACGAAAATCCAAGTAATTTCCCAGAATTAGAGATTGGAATGATTAGGGAGAATGAGGCATTTAAGGAAATTAGTATTAGGAAGAAGGTTGTACTGATGTAATCATTGAAGCTGAAAGTTGCTAAGTTACTGGGACCTGATATGTCAAAGAAGGTAGCTACAGAGATGGCCAATACATTAATAATCATCTTCCAAAATTCCATAGATTCTGCAAAAATTCTTGCAGGTTGATTGCTTGCAAATATCACCCCACTAAGAAAGGAGCACGGGAACAAACCAGGAACTGCAGAACCATCAGCATTACACCAGTAGTAGGGACAGTGCTAGAATCTGCCATAAAGGATGCGATAAATGGACTTTTGTATGAAAATGATCTAATTGGATATGGATTTACGAATGGAAAATCGTGTTTGACAAACCTGATGGAGTTTTTAGATGATGTTTTGATGATATCAACAAAATTGATAAAGGGGAGCCAATGGATGTAGTATATTTGGACTTTCAGATTTTGATAGTGTCCTCCATAGAAGGGTAGTCTGCATAAATTAAAGCACACAGTATAGGAAGTCATGTACTGGCGTGTATTAAGAATTTGCTCACAGACAGGAAACAGTAGAAATTGATGGGCTGTGACCAGTGACGTATCTCAAGGTTCAGTACTTGGGCTCCGGCTGTTCACAATTTATATCGATGATTTGGACATGAGAACTAAATGTAAAACTTCCAAATTTGCAGATGATACAAAGTGATGCAGGACTGTGTGTTGTGAGGAAGATGTAAAATATTTTCAGGATTTGGACAGGCTTTGTGATTGGGCAAGAACATGGCAGGTGGGATATATGGTGCAAAATGAGAGGTTATCCACTTTGGCAGGAAGAACAGTTGAGCAGAGTGTTTCTTAAGTGGTGAGAGATGGGGAAGTATAGATAGGCAAAGGAATTTTTGGTGACCTTGTCAATAAGTCACTGAAAGCCAACATACAGGTGCATAAAGCTAATAGGAAGGCTAATGGAATGTTAACCTTTAATGCAGGAGGATTTGAGTACAGGAGTGGTGATGTCTTGCTTCAATTGTATCGGACCTTGGCTAGACTGCTCTTGGAGAACTATGTACAGTTTTGGTCAGGAAAGATATTGTTGCCAAAGAGGGAGTTTGGCAAATATTCATCAGATTTGTTTTCATGATGGTGGGACTGTCTGATGAAGAGAAATTGTGTAAGCTGGGCCTGTGTTCTCTTGTGATTTGAAGAATGAGGTGATCTCATTGAAATGTACAAAATACTTAAGGAGATTTGCTGGAAAAGGAAACAGCATGCAACTATATAGAATATAGTTTCTCCAATTCAACTGTAGATTTTCCCCAAGTTGGGCATAATTTAAAGATAGAGGGGATGCCGAAGATGGATATGGTAGTTAAGAAGGCATTTAGCACGCTTACCTTCTTTGCTCAGACCTTTGAGTGTCGGAGTTGGGACGTCATGTTGAGGTAGTACAGGACATTGGTGAGGCCTTTTTTGGAGTACTGTGTGCAGTTCTGGTCATCCTGTTATAAGAAGTATGTTATTAAACTGGAGAGGGTTCAGAAAAGATTTACCAGGTTGTTGTGCTGGGAACAGAGGGTTTGAGTTATAAAAAATTGGCTGAATAGGCTGTGACTTTTTTTCACTGGCATGTAGGATGTTGAGGATTGACATTATTGAGATTTATAAAATCATGAGGGGCATAGATAAGGTGAACAGCAAAGGTCTTTTTGTTCAGTTGGGGGAGTTCAAGACTAGGGCATATTTTTAAGGTGAAAGAAGAAAGATTTAAAAAGGACATGAGGGGCAACTTTTTTTTTTACACAGAGTGGTTGGTGTGTGGAATGAACTGCCAGAGGAAGTGGGGAACACAGGTACATTGACAACATTTAAAAGATATTTAGATAAGTACATGTAAAAGAAAGGTTTAGAGGAATATGGCCCAAATGCAGACAAGTGGGACTGATTTAGTTTACTTTGGGAACATGGTCGGTGTGGACTAGTTGGACCAAAGGATCTGTTTCTGTGCTGTATGACTATATGTCACTTAGGATTGAGAGGAGAATTTTTTTTTTTTACTGAGACCATTGTGAATCTTTGGAATTCTCTACTCCAGAGGGGTGTAAAAGCTCATTCTGTATGTATATTTAAAGCAGAACTTGATCCATTTTTGATTATCATTGGTGTTAAGGGTTGTGGCATAGTTTAGGTAAAAGACGTTGAAGTGTTCATTCAGCCACAATCGTATTAAGTGGCAGAGCAGGTTCAATGGCCCAAATTGCATTATGCTGTTGCTGTGTTCTGATGATATGTTCATATGTTGCCAGTGATTATGACCCACGGTCATGATGCACGTAACAATTAGAACAAAAAGTATAGAAATTAGTTTTTGGTTTATCTGTGAGCCGTAACTGGTGAAATATTGTGGCCATTTAGTTGAGGTTCTGGTACCAGTAACCTCGGCAGTTGAGCACTTGGACTGGAGATTCTTGGTTTTCCAGTTTAGCTGAATGGAGCTATCTTTTTCGGTGGTGTCTTTGTTCAGTTGTGACTCGCTTCCAGCAGCTGGCGAGACAAAGAGAGACCCTATATTTTGCCTACTAAAATGGGTACCTAGTGACTGGTCTTCAGCTGTTACCTCTGGAACGTACACCAACCAGTAAAACCAGAATCCTGGGCTAGTATGCATAGCCCTGGTCTGAAGATTTCTTCTCTTGTGTATTCCTGGTAGGAGAAAACACAAGCATGTCTTCCACCCAGAATTGCTTTCTTTTACCTCATATAATGTTTACAGTCAGGGTGGGACATAACTGGCATGAGCTGGTTTTTGCTGAAGTGTAATCAACCTCCGTTTATCTCTAAAACAGTAGATTATAATTCAGGTTATACATTGTATCTTTTCTTTTGAAGTGTTCTTTCTGCCTGATGTTCTTTGACCCCCCACCCCCCGCCTCCCATGATCTCTGTTGGGACTGTGTATAATCCACAGCAGGAATTTTCTACACAATCACTGAATTGCATTCTCAGGATTTGTATTACCAGCCATCTTTGGCTTGTATGTCCTTTGGTTTTAGTTTATAGCAAAAAAAACTACCTTACTTTGAAGTTCAATATCTCTATATAAGTAATATGGGTCTGTGATCCATTGTCATGACTCATTGCATACCACTGTTCCATATGCATTCTCCTAGTTCCTTCCTTGAAGTAGGGAAATTATGCTGATAACCGCATTCTAAAAATGTTGTACATTTTATTTTAACCAAAATTTATTTTTATGAAACTATCATAGCCTTTCCTTAAAGTCAGATTTTGATCTTAAGTCCTGCATGTGAGAATGTGAATTTATATTCACCTGTACAAAATTTGGACAGGAAGTTGGATTTTGTTCTCTAGAAAAAGAAATAGTATTCAACTACATGGAACATAGTTTCTCCAATTCAAGAATAGCAATAGAAAATTCAGTTTTACTCTTGTTATATTTTTGGTGGGAATGTTATTCTAGTTTTCAAAAATGTGCATTATTTTTCATCATGCATTTTATAATGAGACTAGTGTAAGTGATTTATGATTGTGGTTGTGATTTTTTTTTCATGTTGAGCAGAAATTGGAGATCTAAGAGAGCTGCAGACTCTCGACATCTCAACCAATTGCTTGACGGCATTGCCAGAGAGTCTTCATTTATGCTTTGCCCTGCAATATTTGGCAGCTGACCGAAACCACCTAAAGAATTTGCCTAGGCAGCTTTGTATGCTTCCAAACTTGAATGAACTCTCTGTTACAAGCAACTGTTTAAAATGTTTACCACAAGGTGAGTTTCAAGTATTGTTGTGTTACCATTGAATATGTGTCAAATTTTGATTATTCACATTAATATGGTTGTACCTTTGAACTTTTTGCTACATTGAAGGCATACCAATACAAATTGTTGTTGAAACTTACTATTTTCAGCTGATCTTTAATCATGGAAGATTTGCAAGTTGCCTTTTATTTTGCTGTTATTTCACATCTGTTAACTTTTAGTTTTTGTTAAGGATTCTTGTACAGTGATTCACCATTTCAATTCCCAAGCTATAATAGAATAATTTAAAAACTTAAATGTTTTCGGCTAAAGTACACTGGTATCTTGCCAGTAACGATGCTTATCACACATCTAGTGACAACTTGGCAGTAGACAGCATCATGTATTTCGAAAATTCCCAGAACACAGTAAACCTCTGTTATGTAACTAATGGGAATATGAGACAATCTTCTGCGAACTAATGTAAGCAAGGTGGGAATTTATGATTAGAAATACTGTGATATGATATCAATAAAATATTTTGCTCGTGCTCAATTCACAAGTGAAGCTTTCACAGGTTCTAGATAATACATTACTGCTAACATTATATACATGTTGTGGAAATTGGCCAGGCTTTACTTCTTGTGAAGATCTCTTACAAAGTGACTGCAATGTTTAAGAAAAGAAACATGAACATGAATATTTTTCGATATCATAATTAAGTTGTGGGCTGTTGCTTCAGAAATCTTAGCTGCAGATTTTTCAGTTTTTTTTAAAATTGCCTTGCCAATAATGGATAATGAGGTTGCTTTGTGACCAAAGGCAAACAACAGCAGGGAAGGAAAGATCTTTTTGAGTCGTGTCTTATGTGTGCAAAGCTCTGGTTGACCTGAGAGTTTGCCTTCTACTTGAATCACTACTTCTTTGCGCTGATGGTATTCACTAGTGAAGTGTAGAATTATGACCCAGTAATGGGGAAGGAACATGTGCAGGTCACAAAAGCATATGACTTAGATTACCTCCAGGATCTCCTCTTCTAGAAGGTGAGTTGATCTCAGCAGGCATGTGTTATACATGATCCCCTCCAAGGTGTCCTGCTTTGCTTCAGATTCATGTTGGGCCTTTATTCTGGATTGACATTGCTTTTCTAGCATCAAACAAAGCAAAAGATTGGTAATGATACTTGAGGACAAAATATAGTAAATAGAAACCTGATCTTATTAATTCATCCGAGTTTATAGCTGTTTCAGCATAAGCTGCTAAAAGTTTCACTTCAATTTGCAGCTTATTAACTAAATAAATTATCCATTGCAGATGGAAATGAGCCATGTCTAAAGTGGTCATCTGTTTCATTATTTCTTTAGCGTTTCGCCTGTGAAGTGTGACCACATGGTTGATTTGAAAATTATCACATGCACTCCAAATTGAGTCAATTTTGATTTTGGCTGTGTACAGGCATGTTAAGTTTTACTTGCCAGATGGCATTATGCACATTTTGCAGAATAGTTACAAACCTATGATGTTGTTACAGTGTAAAAGAATTGATTCAGACTGAGTGCAGCTTGAGCTTTATAGACAAATGTTGTTATTATGGTCCCTGTCAAAATGTTACCTTTCCATTCAGAAATTGATTCATTAATTTTGAAAAGTATGAAGATTAAAATTTGTGTGAATAATTCATGATTTTTAAAAGACTTTATAGTTACAAAGTAGTCTTTAGTTCTTAGGAGACAAAAAGTTAGTATATTCATGAATCTAATGATCTAGTATGGGGTGTGCCTTCTCTGACATGAGCATTCTTGATTTATTTATAAATTTTAATTCCACTCCCCCATAATCATATTGCTGTGAAATGAACAATGGGGGAAGTAACATACGTTGTAGCATATAATTCAACCCCATTTTGCCTGTGCAAAAGAACCATGTTCATACCTATACCTAGCATTTACGTCAACACCCCTGTCAACCCAACTTGCGTTGGGAGTTAAACCTGAATTTTTCTGCTCAAATGATTAACAGACCCATATCCCTATATTGAATGAGACAGCAAAAAGCTTTCAGAGATTTACTTGTATTTTATTGCAAATCTACAATTTAGCACGAACACGACTTTTCTTTACCTTTCCTTCCTGGAATCTTTCCCTGTCCAGAAGCCCACTCCTCACTGGGGGAGAAAACCCAGCTGATAAACATATAACATTTGCTAACACATTAAATAACTTGTAGTGGTGAAATTTGGGTTAGTGAAAATATAGTAAAAGAAGGAATTGTCCTGAAGAAAGTACCCAACGCTAAATATGCCATGCAAACAAGTACCAAGCACTGACCTGACATTAAAACAGCTATCAGAATGAATCCTGGAAAATCATTTGCGTAGTTACAATTACTATGAGAAATACATCAAATCAAACTGAGTCCAACAAAGATTTCAGAGCAACAGCTAGTTGCCTTAACCACTTTATCTAACAAACATGTCGAGGTGGCAAAACACCAGTGTTGCTCAGAAACTTCGAAAGATCTCTATTGGAATTACCAATTTCCAACAATTCTTCATCAGATGACAGCAAAGATATGAATGCTTCTTATGTCATAATTGCAACACAAATGAAATGCCTGTAAATTTTGACATGCCCAACAACCAAACTGGAGTTGAAAGATCTAGACAGTTGTTAATGAAGACCACAGGGCACAAAATGATCAAATTCATTGTGGTACTTGCATGCATGAAGTACCAACTTAAATTAAAGCCAATGATAATTTTCAGTCTAGTTTTCTACAAGCTAAGAGCCACAGGTTGCAGCCTGTGTAGATGTATGAAATGGCTGTGTTCAAAGCGACCTGGAAGAACATGCAAGTCAAAGGTCTCCCTAAGTTCCGAAATGAAGTCCTGAAGGGCTGTACTGGATTACAAGTTCCTGGCTTTCTGCATCTGAAGTGGTGTGCACCTGGTCACTAACGGCTTATACACCAGGAGATCTCAGCAGTCTGAGAATTTTGCCTCTCCTGCCACACAGTTTCCGGAGAATGATGCCAAAAAGGGTGGTTGCATAACTAATGAGGAGCTGAAAAGTCACTATGAGCCATGACGGAACACCCACCATGAAACTCCTGACAATAATGCAGCCTGAAAATGGGAAAATCTAGTCCATTGTATTCTCCTTCCTTATTAAATCTTGATTTTCCACAGTTTTGGATGAAGTACAGGATTCTTAAAGTACAGAAGCAATTGACTGGATTTCTTAAGTCTTAAGGGTGGACATGTAGTTGGGTAATACTGAAGACTGTTTCTTTGACTTGATAATAGCATGTAATTTTTAGCTTTTGACATAGCTTTGATGTAAACTCTAGAGAAGTAGCATAATAAACCATTTACATGTATACCCTGAATATTTGCTTAACTCGCAGTGGTAGATCAGAAATATTGCGCTGAAATTCCTGAGAGGGAATTGAGCCTCAAGCCACCACGCTGTCTGTAGAAATTCACCTCATCATGCTTTAATGAGAAGATCCCACAGCCTCAACTTCTTTGATCAAGAGTGACATCATTAACCGTTCATCATTGTATACTTACAATCAGTCCTTTACACCTTACTGAATTTATTCATCACTTCAGGTCAGAATTCTAGGAACCAACATCCTGATAGACCTATAGGCGTACTTACGCACCAAGAACTGGAATAGTTCAAGAAGGTAGCTCATCACCACCTTTTCCAGTGCAATTAGGAATGGGTAATAAATGCTAGTGACACCCACGTCTCACAGACAAATAAAACAAAAAAAAACAGCATTTTGACCCACTAGTTTTGCTATTAATCAAGCAAATGTCTAGAATTTTACACACATACAAGTCTACGGCATTGTTCCTTCTGAGCTGTGCAACCAAGTAACAACCAATACGTTCTTGCACAGACCATGCAAAAGTTGGCCCCTTTAAACTAATCTGCATGCAGTTAACTAAGTTGTCTGTGTGACTGGAAACAAAAGGGCATACTTTGCTGAAAAAAAGAGTCATTTTGTTGAAGCTTTTCATCTTATACTCATTAGAACAATTTAAGGGGAAGACCAATTATCATATTAGAGGAGGGTGCTGATTGGCTGGCCAAGGTGTTGCTATGAAGAGTGCATTAGTTAGTGATGATTAGCTTTTAACTTCCAGGCTTTGTTGACATTTTAAGACAGGTAGGTTGACTCTGGTCTGCAAAGTGAGCCAGTGAATGGTTGAAACAAGTGCATTATGTGTACGTGTTTTTTAAGTCAAAGAACAGAGTCCTGTGTATAAATGTGTGTAGCTTCCAGTGTATGCAAGCACCCTAGCCTTTGGGACATAGGGGCAACATATCTAGCAGCATACTGGCACTAAAATTCATAAACCACAATACTCATTTATATGACAGACAGAAACTGTTTTTGGCTTGACAGTAGCATTCTGTTTATGGCAAAGGTCACTCATGTTGCTGTTGCATAATAGCAGTTTAAAATGGCTAGCTTCATCTGTTGATCAAGTGTCATATAGTACTTGCTCTTTAAAGATAATCCAGGATTGTCACTTGGGCTTGAAGTGTTGTGCACATGCATGTGCTGGAAGATGCATGTATTAATCACAAGGCTATCTTCTTTGTACACATAAAGAAAATGTACACACACTTCTGTCAGTTTTAACTCAACAAAATTGTTAACAACTACTCTCTAGCTCATTTCACAAGATCATTGCTTAACCAGTCAAGTGAGCCTACCTGATTTAAAAAGTAAGCTAAGCTTGACCGTTAGCTGTCAGTCATCATCAACTGGTGCATTGTCCATGGTAATGCCTTGACAAATCAGAATCCACTTGCCAACCAATCAACACTCTCCTCTGATACTGTATAGAAGTTGTTTTGGCTTAATTTTGTTTTTTCTTGCAATTTGTCTTGTGAAGTAGTAAACAAAAAGCTTTGTCGAAATAAAAACAAAGTTGCTGGAAAAGCTTAGCAGGTCTGGCAGCATCTGTGAAGGAAAAAACAGAGTTAACATGTCCGGTCCAGTGACCCTTCCTCAGAACTACGATAGGGTTAGGGTTAGGGATCAGTTCTAAGGAAGGGTCATTGGACCCGAAACATTAACTCTGTTTTTTCCTTCACAGATGCAGCCAGACCTGCTGAGCTTTTCCAGCAGCTTTGTTTTTGTTCTGATATATAGCATCCGCAGTTCTTTTGGTTTTTATTTAGCTTCGATGAAATGTTTTTTTTGAGCAGTAGATAGTTTTATGATTTTCTACTGTATTCCTAAGAGACCAGATTTGCAAACAAAAAGTGCAAACGCATAGGCATTTTCACGGATTCAAAAAAATGGCTGATATTTGCTTGAATGTAAACCCTTAATTGAATAAAGCTGTTGAAAATCATTTCCCAGGCGGGCTTTGAAATCATTTGGAAAGGAAAAGAAATTAAATTGTGTTGCAGTATGAGAGAATAGTGTCTACAGTTGTAAACTAGGAAAGTAATCTTGATGTCTGCTGGCAAATTCTGCATTGTGTACTCTGATTGCAACATCCAAGAAATTGCTCACAGACAGATCTGTTAGAAAAGTATCACTGAAGCCTCTATAGTTTTGTGAAAGGTTGAAATCTTGAAGGACAACCCTTGTCAAAAATACTGTATAACATTTGATTTTGTGTTTTTAGAGTACATAAACCTTGTTGCAAAGTACCTAAATGTTTAATAGTATTATGTCTGAAGCTTTAATTTGGGCCCTTTCTCAGCTGGCTGGTGGGTAAAGTTACACATGAAGAGTATGACCAAATATTTGACTTCATTTGGTTGGTTTAGTTTCCAGTTTGGAGCATTTTTTTAGACTGTTGTTTAGTTTAGCCAGTTTAAAAAGTGTGACATCAGACCATGGCAGATGGAAGTGTTTTTTAATATTGAAATATCGAAAATAATATGCACATATTAAATATATAATTATGTATATATTTAATGTAACTTTTAATTAAAATGCCCCAGATTTGTATACATAGGAGTGACAACAAGGTGGGGAGACAGCAGTCGGTTCACTCTATTAGATTTATTCCCTCCCTGGGAGGATGCACCTGCCATTCGCTCTGTACCTTCCCACAACAGCACGGAATGCACCACATGGCGAATGAAAGAACAAATCCACATCCTGTCTGAAAGTGGCACAGAATGTCAGAGCTCCAGCATGCTGTGCCACTGCACCTGCTCATCATGACAATTTTTCTTTCACTACGGCTGTTTCAAAACATGAAAACGAAAAGAGATTCAGTGCCTGTTGCCTTGATTGTTACGGGGACCCAGTCACCTGCTGTCCTTAATGTTGTATTTTCAGGTTGAAAGGCTTTGGGCTCAAATGTAGTTTGTGGCAGGCTTACAATTATTTCCCTGCCACCAGATATTTGAGGATATTTTAACAGGAGGCAACGATCATCTCATTTGGTTCAGAAACTATGTTTTTATTTTGTACTCATTAATTAAACACTTGTTCTTGTGGGCTCCAGACCTAATGCTATCCAAGCTATCATCTCTGAGGTATCAATAACGTGTCATTCAATTCCTCTCAGTGAAGTAGTGTTCTTCGGGGTATGAAATCAGCTAGATGTACTGGAGTACACTGGATTTTAGTTGCTGATTTCTCTATGCAGGCATTTCCCTGAGGGCAGCATTGGTCATCAACTCACGCTTAGCGTTTCCTCACGTTTTTAACTCATTGTCTCAATTGAACCATAATACTGAAAGCTTTCTTCCATCTTATCCTGATCCTTGGTTATAAACTGCTGTTCTAGTAAGTTCACAAGCTGATTTTGTTTTCCCTGGTGGGACTTTCACGTGTTTACTTTTTTACAGCTATCCTCTTAGGTATAATTGTTTTTGAAGTCTACCTACAGATGTAGAAGATCTCATCTTGTAGCAAATATCACTTACTGTAGTCATTTTGTTTCGCCAGAGGAGAGTTTTGTAAAGACATATGATCTCACCTTTCCTTGCCATATTTCTGCTCCATTATCTCATGGGTCTTAAAAGCTTGGAGCAGTCACAACCCAAATTTTAATATTGTTATAATTTTGTCACCATTAATGCTGCCAGTGCTAGAGAGATGGAGTATTTTTAGGACCAAACTTAGTAATAATTCAAATCATTTCAATTGCAGTTATACTGTAATCACTTACAGTTTAGTTCTATTCGTTATTAATACATGATTTTGGCTTGTAAAGCAGTCCATTCACATTATGGGAAACTTATTGTTTTTGCAATCATAAACCAACAAAGAAAAGAGAAACAGTAACCATTGTAATTCCTTACCCAGTCTTCAAGGTGCAACCAAAATTAGAACTTTACCTTCAAAACTTAAATCATAAACTTACCTATTAAGCTAACTCTGGCAACATCTTTTCTTCGTTTACCCCTTTGTTCTACACCTATCCCACATCTTTCTTGCAAGCAGCGTTTGGCCTCTGTTGAGCCTCAGAACATCCTGTGTATCCTCTCCCCCTGTAGATATCCCGCTCAGGCAGTTCAGTCCACTTATTTTAAGGTCTAATATAAAGACTTCATTGTTAACAATAGGCACCAAAGTGTATAATGTTGAAAAGAAACTACAGGGCTGAACTGAATGCGTAAAATGTGTTTCTGTCTATTCCTGTCTTTCACTTTCACTGAAATAAACTGGACAATTAACTTATTGTGAATAGTAAAGCAAAATGAGAAATAGCAGTCACAACATAATTACCTTCAGCATGAAAACAGAAAGGGACAAAGAACAGTTATAGAAATGGTGAAAGGGCAAAAAACAAAGTACATGGAGACAGGAAAAGATCTGGCTCAATTTAACTGGGAAGATCAGTTAGCAAAGAACAATGGATTGGAGCAGGAACACTAATTATGGTAGGGCTGGAACACAGTATAGAATTGTTTTTGATGATGGAGGTGCTAAAAGATTAAGGTTTTATGACTTGAAAGTAAACAAACCTAAAAAGTGCATGCTAAAATTGGAGTAGCATTACTAAAAACCAGATACAGAAGGGCAATGGAGAAGTTAAAAAGTTGTACGAGCTGAAATGACTAGCAAGTTAAATAGAAAGCATTTTTTAAGCACTTTATAATAGCTTTTAAATTGAAAGGATAGAAATTCTAGGCCTACATTGTAAAAGAGTAAAATCTAGCCGTGAGGTGTGAAAATATATCCAGTAGATAGAAGTGAGAATGGAAGTCTGCTAGAGAGAAAAGAATTGTAGAATAAAGCAGAAAAATAATTTTAACTGAAACTACAGTGGAATGTTAGATGGACAAGTTATTGGCCTACATTGGTCCACATTATAAAAAGAGAGAGAAGGTCCTGACTACAATTTTTCGATCGTTGTACATGAAAATTATGTCAATGAACCGGAAATTGCCAATGCAATCTTGAAAGCTCTGTGTTGGTGGAAGAAGGTAGATTGCCCCAAATGATTTTCTAGCCTTCTGAAATTTTAAATGTTAAGTTGGCAGACTTCATGCATATATGTGTTTAACGACTAAAGAATCACCTTCACAATTAATGATAGCTTTCTTAGAGCCATAAAAGAACTTGCAAAATAAATAACAGTTTAAAGTCCACCTCCTTGATTGTGTAGTATTGGCTAAGAAATTGGACCAGATGTTCTAAAATAAATTCAGCCTTGCCCACAATTAACCTTGATGTATTAAGGTTTAAAGAATTCTCTTTTGATCTATTTATTCATAACCTCCATGATTCTGATCGAATGTTAATTTTTTTGATGTTCTGAACCGAATGATCTGATTTGGAGGAAATCATTTTGCAAATTAGCAGCATATTAAGATGCCACTTTGAAAACTTTGGTTATAATGCTTTTGATGTCTAATTATTGGAACTATCACATGAGCATCAGAGTGACTCTTGTGCTGTTTCAGATCCTGTTCTGTAACTTTGTCTCAATGATTTAACAGCAGTCGTTCCTTAAATTGGTCCTTCTGCATGATTCCCAGACTACACCTTTACTAATTTTGCCCTTGCCCTTGCACTTGTCTCTACTTAAAATACATCAATGCCATCCATTTACTCTCAAGCATATTTTAGCAATAAGCTATTAATTTCTGGAACCAACAGCTATAATCTTAGAGACCACAGGTTTCTACCCCTACCGTGTTATTGGGCAGCTCAGGCGTTGTAAATGAGTTTCTAGATGGACATTCTGTCATCTTTTCAAATCCTACGGATTGGAACTGAGCAGCAGATTATTACACAAAGTGAGGAAAAACACTCCATAGTCTAGTGCTCCCTCAAGAGCAATGCCTATGATAATATTGAATCAGTATTGTGGTGGGATTTGAGGCCATGCCACAGAATGATCACCTGTACCTTTGGTGTTACCACTATGCCTCTGCCTCTGTCTGCCCCAATCCACATCTGGTGCTTTCTTCCCCTGCAGTGTTTCTCTGAATTCAATACTGTTATCAAAATTAATAAAGCAACTGAGGTCAATACAAGTATGAAAATCAGTACCGAAAGACAAGGAATTTATCTGTTTATTTGCAGAGAGAAAGATTTAGCTGTCTTGCCAGCAGCCGTACCAAAATAGAAGAATCATTCAGCAGTTTTCTGAAAAGATTCAGTTCAGAATAATCAGAATGATTCTGGTTAAAACTAAATTGTTATTTTCAACATTTGATATCTTTGCTATTCACCATTACTTGTAAGTAAATTTCTCTAATGGCAATCTCTTTAATTCATTCTTATGTCTTTTTTCAAGATTTAGGGCGATATCCAGAACTACAGTATGTGTACGTAGATAACAACTTTCAGCTATATGGACTACCTTCTTACCTGTACAACAAAGTTATTGGCCACAGTGGGTAAGAACAACTTTGGAATTTTAATATTCATTGTCACTGTATCGCTGTGATTAGTAGTATCACCGAACAGATTGCTAAGGGCAAAATGTCGTTTTAACAGACTGAAGACAAATTGCAATTGTTACAGTTCGTAAGTAGCAGTGATCAGATTCTATGAAAGTAAGAATATGCTGTTCAGTTGATGTTCAGAAACAAATCAAATGGTTTTATAACCATTTATGTTCAGCTGGAGTAAATTCTGGAGATGCAGAATATGTAGGTCTTAACTGTGCGGTTTTTTTTCACGGATGCCTACGCGAAGGAAAGTTCTAGAAATTTAAATATACTTTAATCTTTTAATAAAATGTTCTTCCACAACTTATGAAATGTTTAATTATTTCTCAGCCTTGCAACCTTCTTTGATGTGTTGTTCTTTATGATGTTCATGGCATTATGGGGGTCGGCATTGAAGGAGTCACAATATTCGGGAGTAATATAGGCGTGGGATTTTGATAAGGTCTTAAATCTTATCATAGGCGCTTGAGCATATGTTACCTGAAGCTTAGGATTATCACTTCCATTGGTTATCTGTTACTTTCCTGATGGGGAATTTAAACGCTTAATTTGGTCAAAGGATTCTGCTAAAATTCTAAAAACATGAAAGCAAAAAGATGTGTAGCCATCCAGTCCCAGATCATTGATTAGTGCCTTGCTCTTTTTTTGGTGGTTCCATGTTTCTGGGTTATTGGAGATTGTTGCCTATGGAGGATAATCAGGATTATATGATTCTTTTCTGAGCAAAGAACATTTTTAATCTTCACAGTTGCCAGATCATGACCTTTCTGTTTTACATGTTTTTAAAAATTTGCCCAATATTTAATCCAAATTGAAGTTAAGGTGATCCGACAGGAAAGTCATGTGTAAACAGAGGGAGATCTGTATAAATTTGCTGGCATAAGATCCAGCAAGTTGAGAAGTAGTTTACCGTGGAATAAAACAAAGCAAGTGATTTCTGGCATGAATGTGATTTCCATTCAGATCTGTGCAGCGCAAGAAATCTTGGGGACCTACGTATTGAAATTTACCCTCCGAAACAATTCTCCCTGATGAGTTAACAATCTAACTTGCATGTTGAGGAGAAAAGACAAATGAGTTGTATGTGAACATTCACTTCAAAAGCTATCCATAATGCAACAAAGGTTTATTCCGTTATTGTTCTCTTTTCATGAGTGATTTATGGTGCTTTCATGTACTTTTCAATTGCTTCATGAATCAGATCATTAGGTGGTGAGTTAATTTATCTGCTTTTGATGAGTATTCAAATTTACTGGCTGCAGAATGATCATTGGCACAAAATAAACTGGTGTGTAATTTTATTTCATATTGGACCAAATATTCCTATGAACATAATGGTAATTATTTTTGAAGAGCAAATTGGATAGCTTTGTCTGAAACTGCACCTACACAGTTAACTTTGATGGTTTGAAAATTGCGGTCTGAAATCCCTTGCTGAAGTGAAAATTCTGTGAAAATGGAACTGTGCGTGGAGACTCTCCATTGGAATACACAGAATAGTGTGAAATTAATATACTTACTCACAAATTACTCGCTAAACTCAAGAGTCATTGAGAGCCGTAGAGTACAACATGGAGGGAGGCCATTTGGCCCACCCAAAACCATGCTCTGTGGAGAAATTAATCAGTCCAATTCCTCTGCTCTATTCCTACAGCCTGTAAATTTATTTAACTCTAGTGCCATTTTTTATAAATAGTTGTTCATCTCCTCTTATACCATTCTCATATGCAATGTATTCCAGGTCACTGCTTAGATAAAAACTTTCCTAACATCATATGATATAAGAGCAGAAGTAAGCTATTCAGCCCATCAAATCCATTCTAGCAATAAGTGAGATCATGGCTGATCTGATAACATTCAACTCCACCTCCTTGCTTTTTCCCCAATAACCCTTGTTTCCCTTACTGATTAAAAATCTATCTCAGCCTTGAAAATAATTAACAACCAAGTCTAGACAGCCCTCTGTGCTAAAGAATTCCACAGATTCACTACCTCTGAGAGAAGAAATTCCTCTTGTTTTTCTTAAATGTGTGACCCTTTATTCTGAGATTGTCCTCTGCTCCTAGACTCTCCCACAATCAGAAACATCCTGCCTTCATTTATCCTATCAAGTCTCCTGGAAATTTTTTATGTTTCAATAAGGCTGCCTGTGATTCTTCTAAATTCCAGTGTATGCAGGCTCAACCTACTCAACCTGTCCTCATAAGACAGTTCAAGCGGCAGCCTAGTGAACTTTCTCTGGGCCCCCTCCAATGCCAGAGTATTTTTCCTTAGATAAGTGGCCCAAAACTGTTAACAGTATTCCAACTGTGGTCTGATTAGTGTCTTGCATAGTTTCAGCAAAGTCTCCCTATGTTCATAATGCAATCCCCTTGAAATAAAGGCTAACATTCCATTTGCTGACCACTGGATTTGGATGCTAGCTTTCTGTGATTCATGCGCTAGGACTCCCAAACCCCTCTGTTCTGCTGTCTTGGTCAATTTAAATAATGTTTAGCTCCTTTATTCTTCCTGTAAAAATGCAAAAATTCCTATTTTCTCTCATTAGATTCTATCTGCCAAGTATTTGCTTAACCTGGCCATATTCCTGTGCAGACTGTTTGTGTCATCCTCCCAACTTTCCTTCCACTATTTTTGTGTCACTTGCAAATATGGCTATAGTACATGCACTTTCTTCATTCAAGTTATTAATATTAAATAATTGTGGTCTCAACACCTGAGCCATGTGACACTTTACCATTTACAGGATGCCATCCTGAACATGACCTCTTATCCAAACTCTGTCTTCTGTTAGTTAGCCAATCCTCATTCCATGCTGATAGATTGCCTCTTGCACCAGGGCTTTTATCTTATTAAGTAGACTAATATATGGTACCTTTTCAGATGCCTTCTGAAAATACAAATATATTGCATCCACTGCTTCACCTTTATCTATCCTGCTTGTTTCCACCTCAAAGAATTCTAGTAAATTTGTAAGGCATGAAAACCCCTTCATGAAGCCATACTGAATCCGCTCGATCATATTGTGTATTTCTAAATGCTGTGCTATTACAACCATACAATAGACTGTTGTGTCGCTTAGCTGAAACCTTTTATATCTGTGACTCATAGTCCTTGTACCGTCAGCTAATGTGAACAGCTTTTCTTTTTTTGCTCACCATATGTACCACTGTCTTAATTTCAAACTTCCAGAAGATCTCCCTTCAACCTTTTCTGCTTCAAAAGAAAAACCCTAACTTTTAACCTAACCTTGCAGCTAAAATCTTCTGGAACCATTCCAGTGAATGTTCTCTCCTGGACCCTCATAATCTTCCTTAAGAGTGGTGATCAAAATGGACACGATCCTTGCTGGATGGCCAACCAGAGCTTGAAACAGTTTCTGTGCCTTTATGCTCAATACCTTTATTTATGAAGTCCAAGATATCCTATTTTTTGATAACTTTTCAAAATGTTATGCCTCCTCTGATGCATCTAATGTCACCCTTCCCCAATATATTTGTCCCCATACACTTAGAGCTGTATAGTTTATTCTGTTACCTCTCCCTTTGTCCTTCTGCCAAAATGCATCACTTCATATTTCTGTATTAGGTTCATGTGCCGCTTTTCTGTCTATTCTGATTGCTGACCTGTTGCAGTCAGTTGGTATCATTCACATTGTCAGCCACATACAGCTACTGTACACATGTATGTCCCACGGTGTAGCCTCCTCCAGTTGTTTACAATGACTCAGTTTCTGTCCTTAAATGAAAACTTGCCAGAAAGTGTTGTTGTTTGTCCATTCCAATGTAAATAAACTTATGGCATGATAAATCTTCTTTTCTGGTAAATACCCGCTGCTACAGTGAAACCTAATTTAAGTGAGGAATCTCATCTCTTCTGATCTTACATAAACTTTATCTTTCTCTGAACCCCATTTTTCTTTCCCTACTTGCCTTTCACTTTTCCTATCTGATTTAACATGGAAATAAACACACCGTGTGTCATAACTCATTAAGCCTTCATTCAGTCTCATGGGATAATGAGATACCCAGTTGTCCAGTTCACACAGTTTTGAGATCTCTTGTCAATGTCACTGCACTAAGTTCCAGTAAGTGGCACTGTAAATCACGTAATCATCCTGTGAGTAAATGTAGTGAATGTTGGCACCCTTCATTCAATGCTAGGAGCTAGATCCAGCTTTATCTGTTATTTCAATATGCCTAAATTGATGTGAAACTATTCACGGCATATTTGCTATGCCTTTGTCTCCTAAAACATTTATTATGAAATTAAAGGGAGATTAACAACATTAGTGTAAAGAGCAATCAAACTCATGACAAGTTCAACATTGCTGAAATTGGACAAAAAATGCCAACCCAACCAGAGGCACCCACATTCCATGAATGAATAAAAGAAAACACACGGTCTGCAGATGATCTTGGGAAATATATACACTCTAGTACAACTGCAAAACTTTTGATTTGATCAAAGATTGTTGTGGCATCATGTACAATGGCTTGTACAATCTAACATGGCAATGACTTTTGGGTGTGTGTTTTTCTTCCCTATTTAACCACAGTTGTGGTTCCTCTTTGAAAAATGAAGAAGTGAAGCTTTCATTCACCCACAGGCAGCTGACCATTACTGTACCCGATGAAATCCAGACAATAGGAACAGAAAACGATACTGTCCCACCACTTCAAGAAATGGTTATGAGGACCATCTACAAATTTTACCACACGTCTAAGAAAGGCATGTCTAATTCACTCTTTCTATTAATGGTCACAACTTCATGTCTAAAAGAAAGTGTAAAGTTGATTTTAGAGCTTTTAATGTTAAAATGCCTTTTAATGTTTAAAATAATCACAATACGTTCAAGATAAAGAATATTTCTTGTTATTGTTTGCTAATTGGGAACTGGGATGACTACTGGATATTCCCAATACATTACTGTTGTTTGTGAACATTTAAGACCAATAAAATTAACCAGTTGCATTTAAAATACCGTTTTATTTAGGAACGTAGCAAGTAGAAGCAGGAGTAGCTCCTTTGGCCTGCTCTGCCATTCAATGAGATCATGGTTGATCTACCTCAAAGCCAGTTTACTGTACCACTACCTTATCTCTTCATTTCTTCAATATCTAGAGATATCTTCAACACATATCTTGAATATATTCAATAACTAAGCCCTCTCAGCCCTTGGAATAAAATTCCCAAGTTTCATCACACTTTGAGTAAAGAAATTCCTCCTCGTCTCAGTCCTTAGTGGCCAACCTCCAAGTCTGAAACTGGATAGAATTTTATGGAGGTGTTAGGGGTCTTGTCAGCTGGCTGCAGAGCTGGTTGGAGACCCATGCTGCTACTTTTAGAAAAGGCTGCACAAGTGCCACTCAACCACAGGTGGCCTTTCTCTGGAATCGAGACCCTGCATTGATTCTATTTCAAAGTACTCCACAAGGGATGCACCAAACTCATTGCAAACTGATACGTTCACCATATGGAACATACCAGACTTTTTCCTTACAATACGGATTTGAAGTGAATTTCTCAGTTAGCAAGTTCTTGATCTTTGTTGCGATGTCAAGGGAAAGAATAGAGTAGAGGTGAGTAATTTGTTTGGGGCTATATATTGATATGGAAAATGTGCATATCAGATCCCGTTTCTCACGTACTCTAACAACCTTTTGAAACACATCTTAAACTGCAAAATTGAGAGTCCCTTCAATTGTATAGCAAAATGTTGGAGGATGCTAAAAATTGGAGGCCTCCTTAACAATTGAACTTATCATCTTTAGGGGGCAGGATGTGTTTTGCATGTGCTTTTCTTTTTCAAGCTGCGCAAGTCTGCCTCTGCCTCCACTCATGTCTGATTTTAATGCACTGGCAATGTGAAACACAAATGTGTGTGATAGAAACAGTTCTGAACTCTGCAGAGTTCTTTGTACAGGTAAGCTATCCCTTTAGATATGGCGCTGGGACATCTGTGGGGCAGTCACGTGCTCGTTGTAATTGTTAAATGTAAAAATGAATGTGTTTAAAAAATGCATAAACACATCAACTGTGTCATGCTTATTGAACTTGTCAAAGGCAACTATCAAAAGGAATTTTCAAATACAGTGGTCAAGTGTGAACACATTTAAAACTCCCACCCTTTTTAGTTTTTGAAAAATCTTCTGTAATAGAATTATTTCTTGCTGTTTCACTCTGTCTGATGACATAAGCCTGAGGATATCCAATACTACATTAGTTCTGCATGGCTGATTTTAAACCCATTAACAGTGTAGGATGCCTGTAATTTCAGTTTGGTGAAAGCTGCAAATGATTATAGACTTTTTGAGAAAATCCACTGTTTTTGTAAAGGATTATATACTAAATGAAATGTTTGTCCTTGTAAGTGATTATGTAGTTGCAGGAGTGTAAATTTAGTGATTTTTTTTAATTCATGAATGAGTGTTTTCTTTTAAATAAAGTATGTCTTGAACACTTAGGTCATTACATTATCTTATCTCAGCATGACTGCTGAGGTCTGCCCATGACAAATACTGGGTTGGAATGGAAAGTGTAGGGCAAAGGGTGATGGGTGCAAGCATGGTTTGGTATGAGCTGGCACTGTTTATAAGTGCCATAAGGGGCCCCTGGTGAGTGGGCAGAGGTGCATAGATTGGCACAAAGACAATAAGGACACATGGAGTGTGGACCTACATTGGCATGTGGGGCATGAGTTAGCTGGAGATAATGTGGCATGGATTGATACGAATAGTGCATGGCGAGTGTGTGAAGGTCGAGGACTGGAAGACTTTTGTTTGATTGGTTTTGTTAAATCTCCAGTTCATAGCCGGAGCATCAAGACAGGTCTTCCGTCCACCTACCTTCACATCCAGCACCCTCTGTGCTTGTTCTAGGATTGCCAAGCCCCACTCCCAGAAAATCTGGCCATGCTACAAAACTTGCAACTTTTCTCCTGACTCAGGTTTGCGGAGCTGTGAAATAATCTGTTTCTACACTCCTATCCCAAAAGGGAAATTTAGACCCAGTTGTTCTTTACCTTTGGCAGAAAATAGCAAATGTTTTTATATTAATGATCCAAAAATTAATTAAGTTCACTAGTTGTGTAAGCTGGCATTTTGCATAATGTGATAACACTTTGTAATAAGTCACATCTCTATTGAAGTCAAAATGTGTTCATGGTTGGCATGCTTGAAATCAACACTCCATCCCGCAGTTTAAACATTCACTTCCTCCAGGAAACAGTACCAGCAGTGTGTCCCACCAGTAAGGTGCGCATTGCCTTGTTTGAAAGCACCTTCCAGACCTGCAGCATTTATCATTTACTATAGCGAAGGTAGCGGCACATATCTACATCCCCAGCTTCAGGTTCCCCTGTAGTCAATGCACCAGCCTGACTTGGAATAATATCATCATTCCTTCTGTACCACTTGTACAAACACTTGGAACTCCCTCCCTAACAGCACAATGGGTTTATCAACACCAGATGGGCCTCAACAATCCAAGAAGCCAGCTAATCACCACCTGCTCAAGGGCAGGTGGGGACAGGCAACAAATGTGGTCCTTTCCAGTGATGCACACACCTCATGAATGAACGTTAAAGATGCATCATACATTACACTGTGTTGCAGGTACAAAACTTTCTTTAAAGAAAAATAAAGATGTATACTACTTTAGACCTTTGTTTGAAATTGAAAAGTTTCCAGTTTCAAGCATCACCTCACCCAAGTTATTGAGCTCACAATTCAAAGCTATATTTGCTGCTAAAACAAACACTAAGGAGGCTATACATCATCTTACCAATTGGATAATAGTTTGGATTATGTGGTGGTGTTTCTCTCATCTGAATTGAGCTGAGCAGTACTAGGGGAGTGTGCATTTTTTTTTAACTTGCCCCAGAGAACTATGATATACAGTTAATTGCAGCCCTGCAACTGTGCCTCTTCAGGCTTTTATCCTTTGGATTTTAGTAGAACTTTTAAATTAAATCTGGCAACATTTTGTGCTGAGACTGATGATAACTGGAAAATTATAAAACCTCTGAAATATGAATTTTAGTGCAGCCTTTCTGGTGTAAGCTTTGCATACCTGTGGAGTAACCAATCCCCCAAAAAGTTCAGTTTATCTACAGGAAAATTGAACCTCTCCTTTAAGCTGATGGATTCGCTTCTTGTCATGTTTTAGTATTATGCAGGATATAAAGTAGTGAATCTGATGGATTATCCAAAACAGTAAATATAATCTTCAGTGACTGCTGAATAATTTAACCATACTCTTGAGATCAAACTGGAACCAGTAATATTGCACAGCACATAACCCTTTGAGATATTGATGGTGTTTGCCTGTCTCTGTCTCTGTCTCTCTGTCTCTCTCTCTCACACTCACATACTTACACACACACACACACACACACACACACACACACACACACACACAC